TATGTGAATAGGTCATTCACAACAACACGGATGGACCTAGAGGGTATCATGCTGAGCGAAATGAGTCAGACAGAGAAAGCCCAATACCATAGGATTTTACTTACATGTGGAATCTGAAGAACAAAACAAACAAACAAAATAGAAAGAGACTCACAGATACAGAGAACAGACTGATGGCTGCCAGAGGGGAGGGACTGGGTGAAAAAGGTGAAGGGATTAAGAAGTACAAATTTGTAGTTACAGAATAGTCATGGGGATGTAGCATAGGAAATATAGGCAATATGGGTATTTGAATTATCAGGGGGATGACTTTGTAAAGTATATAATTGACTAACCACTATACCATACACCTGAAACTAGTATATAATAACATTGAATGTCAACTATAATCCTATATAATAAAGAGCTAATATACTAATTACACCAAACAGCAGAACGACCATCCAGATGACCTTCCAGATGAAGCTGGGCTGCACGGGCCAAGGCAGCCAGGGTCTGCGAGGGCCGCCGAGCCCTTGCATGAATTTCGTGCATCAGGCCTCTAGTTGAAAAGTAAAAATTAAAAAAAAATTATGAGAATAAAATGAAAACAAATGATGTGAATAGGGGGGTCTGTGTAGCAAAACATCCTCAAGGTTCATCCATGTTGTAGTATGTGACAAGATTTCCTTCCTTGTGAAGTCTGAATAATATTCCATCGTATGTGTACACCACTTTTTAAAACCCATTCATAATTTGATGGATATTTGGGTTTCTTCTCTTGGTTATTGTAAAAAGACTTTAAAAAATGATGCATAGTTTCTATCATAGGCTAGTAATATAGTTCACTTAACAGCCCTTCTACTGATGGATTTATAGGTGACTTCTGCTGTCCCCTACCATAAACATCTGATGAATGACTTTCACATAAATCATTGCTTATGGCTCTGATTACTCCCTTAGAATAAATTCCTGGAATAGAATTACTGGATCAAAAGGAGTGCACATGTTTAAGGCTTTTGGCACATGTTATCAAACTACCTTTCATAAGTGTATGAACAGTGTAGGAGGGAACCCATTTCTCCACACTCTTGCCAATGTTGAGTATTGTCATTAAAAAGCAAAACAACAGAAGACCTTTGCCAATTTGATAGTTGAAAATGGTTTCATATTATTGTTTTAATGTGATCACCAGCAGAGAAGTTGAACTTTGTTTTTTCATGTGTTTATTAGCTATTTGTGGTGTGTGTGTGTGTGTGTGTGTGTGTGTGTGTGTGTGTGTGTAGAATCTATTCATATCTGTTGTCCATTTTCTGCGAGGGTACTTTATATCTTGTCAATTTTAAGACCTCTTTATAGAGTCATAATATTCAGTCTTTATCATGTTGCAAGTATTTTCCCCAATTTATTATTTGCCTTTAAAATTTTATGGTGTTTTTTGACACCTGACATTTAATATAGTCAAATCAATGAATCTTTTCCTTTATGGTCTCATTCCTCTGTGCATTATGGATAAGACTGGCAAAATATTAGGTAAGGCAAATCTACTTTTCCCTGCTTCCTGCTCCAAATAAAAAGATAAATGAAGTTGTAGACAGATTAGGTCAGTGCAGAACATTATATACTTTATACTGTATCATCTACTTATTTCCTCATTCAAAAATATTTATTGAGTGACCCCCCCCCCATGTTCTAGGCACTGTATTAGACACTGGATTGCACAATATGCACCTGGATTGCCTGAATGTGATGCCCATACATGATGGATTTTCACAGACCATCCCGATTTCAAATATTCCATTCCATTGTCAGTCTTAGGTGTCAGACTACCTCTTCTGAAACTGGCTTTCGAATGTATGGATGTATTATCCTTATATATTTTATACTGTATCATTCACTTATTTGCTCATTCAAAAATATTTATTGAGTGTCCCCCCTCATGTTCTAGGCACTGTTTTAGACACTGGATTGCACAGTATGCACCTGGATTGCCTGAATGTGATGCCCATACATGATAGATTTTCACATACCATCCCAATTTCAAATATTCCACTCCATTGTCAGTCTTAGGTGTCACACTACTTGTTCTGAAACTGGCTTTCGAATGTATGGATGTATTATCCTTCGGTAACGTGCTTACTGGGGATCCTTCTTTGCCTGCCTACACCTGGGCCCCGAAGGCAAGTCCATCATCCAGAATGCAGCTGCAAGGGCCAAGGTCCTGCGGCAGTGGAAGCTGTGACCGTAAGGCGAGCATTGCTCCTGCTGGTTCTAAGAGGGAGCAGCATCAGTTTGGGGAACCCAGTGGACTAGCCACGCCCCGTCCTCTGTCCCTGGACCATACAGTTCAAGCTGGCACAGTCGTTTAGCCTTTCTAAGCTACCCAGCAAGTCAGAGCCCGATAGGACCCTTTCAGCAATAGGCTTCCTTACACTGTTGCCATTGGAGAGGGCCAGAAGGAAGGAGCTGCAAACACGTTTAAGAGACCCTTCCCAGCAGCAACCAGCCGCAGACAACACAGTGTGAGCACCGATCCTGAGGTGGGGTGGATACCCGAGTTAGGGGTCCCGAAAACTCTCCATGTGATGTGTCCCTGCCTCCTCGGCCTGCGGGACTACTCATAACACTGATTGGTAACTGTTAGAGCCCCACGTGGGAGTATGATGCCTCCACTGGATTTGGCTTCAGCCCTTTTTACAGGGCCAGGAAATGGATTTTTAAAAATCACAACTGGTCAGCTGCCCATTCCTGAAGTGCCCTCCCCTGGGGTTTTAGAATTCAAAACAAATATTAATAGTCGCTTTGTGGAGAAGGCAGTCGAGGCAGACGGATCCGTACCAGCCTGTGCATGTGGCTGGTGGGTATCAGGGTGACTTGCAGTATATTTTGGTTTTATCTGCAGCTGGATGCCAGCTGGATTATGAGACAGTATAAATTCAGAGCCTTCTATTCAGAAAACCCATTCAGCTGGTCGTCTTGGACACACTTATAAGTCTCTCGGGGGACAGTGGGGTCACAAACTCAGAGAGAGAATGACCTGCAACTGTGCTCTTGGGGAGAACGCTGTTCTGCTGGAAATGTTTTATGGCTTCTCTGTCCAGCACTTTAGCCACTGGCCACATGTGGCTACCGAGCACTTAAAATGGGCCTCACGTGACTGAGCAACTGAATTTTAAATTTTGTTTAATTTTTGTTCATTTAAATTAATAGTCACCCATGGCTAGTGGATAGCATATTGCACAGTGCAGATCTGTAAAGTACTACATGTATGTTTTCAAACTTTTTGACCATAACTCACTGTGAGACGCATACTTTATATTGTGCCTCAGCACAGACGCACATGTATGTGAGCACATGCACATACATGCAGCGCCAAAGTTTCTCCACACAATGCTCAGTCTTACTACAGGCAGTGCCCACAGGTACTTTCTGTTTGATTCTGTCCTGTTTCATTTTTAAAGGTGCAGGTTGTGACTTGATAAATTGCTTTCATGACTCACACATGGGCTGTAACCCCCAGTTTGAAGAACGTTGCCTTGTACTATCTGCTCCCCACCTCCAGCCATTTCCTCGACCTCATCTGCTGTTTCTGCATCTGGCCTCGTTGCTGGGTCTTTGCATTTTCTGTGTGCTTTCCCTATATCATCTCTTGCCTGCATTTTTTACATTCTCGGGTTTCTGCTCAAATGCTCGCCAGAAATTTCCTCCTACTCTAACCGTCCTACTTTAGGGAGCTCCCCATCTGTCTTATCCTGCCTTGCTTTTCTCTATGGCAACGTTCACCACCTGACATGTACTATTTGTTTATTGTCTGCTTTCTCAGCTCCTTGAAGGCAGGGGCTGTTTTGTTTATTGGAATAAACCAGCATCCAAACTAGGAGTTCAGTAAATATTTGTTGAATAAATGAACTGACATGGCCTGTGACCTTTCTCGGAATTTTCGTCATGGCTTCATATGACGAGTGGCTCGTGGAACCTTTCCTTCATTACTTAGAGATACTGAGTCCACACCAGTGGCCCGGCTCGTGCTCTGGGCACTGGGGGTAGATGTGCTAGAGGAGAAGGTGGACACGTCTCTGTCCCATTGGAAATTTTAATTGGCTTTTGGGCCTCTGCAGTAGATGGGTCCAAGAATGTTGTGCTGGAGGTTGTCTGGGTTGGTGCTCAGCGATGAAAGGATTCATGGGGAGAGTTTGTATTTTTTCAAAAGTATAAGCAGCCCTTAGTAGGCCTGCAGAGGGGTGGGGACAGCATTGCATGGAGATCCAGGAAAATAATGGCAAACGGAATTTTACATGAAGCCCCGGGGAACTGCCCCATGCCCCGTCTGAGCTTCTATTGTAGACTCTCTGAGAGTCTGAGACTAGAATTCAGGTCTCTTATCTTCCATGCCAGGAGCTTGCCCTATATCCTTGATGGTTTTCTCTTACATTTGCCTCTCAACATAGAAATAAAAATGGGCAACCTAAAAATTTTATTATTGCTTCAGTGCTGAGCGGCAAGCTTTGTGAGAACTGAGTAATGTTTGGTGCATAGCTATCTAATTGTAATCATACCTTGAAATTTTCATTAGCCCATCTTTATACTTGATGGTTTCTGCTTACACTACGGATATGTTGGTGGTTCTTGAATCCATTTTGGAGGCGCAAAGTGTTTCTATTCTCAGTCTGTTTTCCCTCATCTTTTCAGATTTATTATTCCTTAGACTTTTCCCCTCTCCTTCCTTAGAGAGTCATTGGGATGGTGCTATTTTTTTCTCCTTTGTTAAGTGTACAATTAAATAGAATTTGTTGAATGGCTTTTTTTTTTTTTTTACAGCAGGAGAAGGCAATTGAGGCAGGCTGATCCTTCAAAGAGAACGTATTATAATATTAAACCTCCATGTAATAAAATTGGAGCTGGGCCAATACGTCCAAAACATCTGAGCAATCTCTTTATATCGTACACTCGAGCATTTAGCTGCATAAATCTTACAGTGCATTGCCTGACAGTATTGTGATAAATATTCCCCAGTGATTAAATCATTTTACGATCTCATGTACAGAAAAAGCATCCGCAAAGCTACTCCCCACTCATCCAACTCAAATGGTAAGACTCTTAATTTACATCTCAGAAACCTTTTACTAATTTTAGTGGAGCTGTTCTTATAGAGGTCATGTGGATTTTCATACAACAGTGTTTTAACTAAGAAATAATTTTAAAAAAAATGAGCCCTAACCGGTTTGGCTCAGTGGATAATGTTTTAACTAAGAAATAATTTTTTAAAAAAAAATATGGGCCCTAACCGGTTTGGCTCAGTGGATAGAGTGTCGGCCTGCGGACTGAGGGGTCCTGGGTTCGATTCTGGTCAAGGGCATGTACCTTGGTTGCGGGCACATCCCCAGTGGGGGTTGTGCAGGAGGCAGCTGATCAATGTTTCTCTCTCATCCATGTTTCTAACTCTCTATCCCTCTCCCTTCCTCTCTGTAAAAAAATCAATAAAATATAAAAAAAAATGGAACGCTTCATGAATTTGTGTGCCATCCTTGCCCAGGGGCCATGCTAATCTTCTCTATATTATTCCAATTTTAGTATATATGCTGCTGAAGCGAGCACAAGAAATACCTTTTTAGGGAGAGATGGAGGGAGTGGGATTTGAGCTACCCTGCAGGGAAAAAACCAGAAACCGGATCCTGAAGTGATAGAGAAGCTCTGTCTCATGGTTGCAGTTAATAAATATTTACAGCGAAGACTTGAGCTGCAACTCTGCAGTTTTTTTTAGCTGAAACGTTTCATAACCACGAACTATTTGATGAGCTCATGGAGCAGCACCTGGCGCAGTGTGCAGCAGGCTGACACCCCGCTCCTGTGAGTTAGGGGTGTGCTCTCTGCAGGCGTCACGGGTCTCCACCGAGTCAGTGCAGTGGTCTCAGCTGGGATTTTGACTGTTCTCCACTGGTGGGACTCACGGGAGTATAACAGGGGCCCCTCCAGCCCTGAGGAATGACTGTTGATTTGCAGCCCCAAACGCAGCCCAAGCTGATGGTTTGTTTTAAATAATGGATAGTTAGCTCTGCAAACAAATGAGCCAGAGCCTGCTGACTGCCAAAGCCCCTCCGGAGGCGCATGGAGAGTGCTTGGGGAGGGCCGTTAACTCCCTCTGTGGACATGATGGGCACAGAAAGCCCCTCCTCCCACTCGGGACTGTGCCCCTGGAAGTATTGACTCAGTGGCTGACTAGGAGAAAGGGAAGACACGGGGTGTGGGCAGAGGGGCTGGGGACCAGATCTGAGAGGAAAGCCCAGCTGGTAGGGAGGTGGTGTCCTAACACAGGGGCTTTTAAACTGCTAGAATCATAGGATTTCTTGCTACTCCCAGTGTGGGCTGTGGACCAGTAGCAATAGCATCATCTTGAAACTTGTTAGGAACGCGAAGTCCTAGGCCCTACCTCAGACTTACGGATTCAGGATCTGCATTATCGCGAGATCTCCAGGTGACTCGTGTGCACATTCAAGTTTGAGAAATACTGACTGAACGCCATTATTTTAATACATTTACAGACCCTTGGTCAAACATTAAAGGTTAGTGATTTATAGAGCAGATTAGTAAGTCACTCAAGTACAAGCTGGTTTTCAGCACGCTATCCATGTTTTAGGGGAGGAAGGGTTGATAACAATAATAATGTGAAGTTAGCCGGGAATGGAATTGGTGGGAATTTTAATGTGGTTTTGACCATCATACACCATCGCCAATATGGTTCAGTAGATGTGAGGTGGGGTCTGATACTTTGCATTTCTAACAAGTTCCTAGTGCTGCTGCTGAACAGGGGACCACACTTTGAGATCCACACTCTTTTAAAAAAATTGTTTTTAAAAATTGATTTTAGAAAGAGATAGAAATATCAACGGTGAGAGAGAATCCTTGATCGGCTGCTTCCTGCATGCCCCTCACTGGGGATCAAATCTGCAACCCAGGCATGTACCCTGACCAGGAATTAAACTGTGATCTCCTGGTTCATAGGTTGACACTCAACCACTGAGCAACACAGGCCAGACCGAGATTCACACTCTTCAAATGTAATTCTGATCACAGTGATGGTATGACATTTGTCCATGCAATCCCTGCCCTGTGAAGTACGTGTTCCAGAGCTAAGCGTGGCCACCTCTCCTGCCCGCTCTCACCATGCCTCTTGTACTACGGATTCCCAGAGTGTCATCCGGATCCACCTATACCTGCTGATTCCCAGGACCCACCCTTTTGATTTTCTGAGTCAGAATCCCTGAGAGTGGGGTACAGGATGGTCCATAGCATCCCCGGGTGACCCTTCGTCACACATATGATAAACAGCCATTGCCCTGTGTGCTTCCTCCAAATGCATTGCATCCTTAGTTTCCAGGGTGTGTTTTGCCCTTTTCTTGCCCTCTGTCACTTTGCTTGGACCACTTAGGAATGCCCTCCCACACCAGCTTGCCTGCTAGGATTCTTGCCTCCTTCCACGTCTGCCTCAGAAGCTCCATCCACCTTGAGACTTTTCTTCCCCACTCCCACCCCCCAGCTGGATGTGATCCCTAAACATGCGTTTCTTTTAAAATAAGCTTTAAAACATGAGATACCAGTCCTTATATTTTGATCAGTTATAATACACCCTTTTCAACCTCCCTAGACCCCCTCCTCTTTCTGAGTTAAATTTATAGTATATGACACATGTGGCTTATTGTGAGATGGAGGTCAGTGGACGTTGTCATTAAAAACAAGGAAAAGCTTATGGCTCCGCAAAGTTGTTTGGTGTTGAAAAGCCCAATGGTACATTGCACAAACAACACTGTCCCTCTGGCTACTATGTATGTGATTATGGCCCCTACTCAATGTAGGCTCCTGGACTGCTGAGACTGTCTTATTTTCATTAATCTGGTCACCCATGTACCTGGCTTATAGTAAGTGCTCAATAAATATTAGCTGAATGACATAAATGTGATTCATTTATCCTGGGTAAAGTTGGCACCATTCCTTTTCTGGTTTGGTCTTTTATTACATGTGGAAGTACATACCCTGCTCTGGATGCTGATGAGAAGGGCATACAGAAGGGATTCAAGCAGGATAAGGATGATCTTCATTCAAGCTTTAAATACACAGTGCCCTTAGGAGCCACCCACAGCCAGCCTGCTTTTGCAGAATCCTGGATGTCTGTGGGACTCAGGATGGGGAAGGGGTTGGGGAAGTGCTTCCCTCCTGGACTCTGTGCAGGGTGTGGGGAAGCTTAAACCCCTCTAGTCCAGAGACCTTGGGTCTCCAGTATCTCTGTATATCCAGCACTTAGAATAGAAAGCGGGCAGGGAGTCAGTGCTTGTTGAATGAATGAATGAATGAATGAATGAAATCTTGGCTTTGAGTCCCGTCCAGGTATCAAATCTTGACCTCTTTATATCTCATTTGCATCCTGTGTAGGGTAGGGATGTTAATATGTGATCTAATTTTATCTCAAGGAAATTTTGGGAGCCTAGGAGGAATTAATGAACCCAAGGGCACTTTTTAAAGTGTTCATAGGTCTTATTATCTAGAGCAGAGAGAATCTTTTCTGTTTCTTACAAAATAGCTCTTCTTGGTCCTCAATGTCTATTGTAAAGATGTGTCACTTAGGGGACTCTTGGTTCTCTTGGTTGGCCCATTCTCTGCTGATTTTCTCTCTGAATTTGCAGCAAAAGAAGTGCAGGTGTTGAAAGTGTTTCTCTGTCACTATGGTGCATCAGGGGATCTTCCTGCTAATACTTGTTTCTCTAACAGCTATATTTTGTGCTTTGTACTGTAGCTTTCATAGAAGAAACTTCGGGCGTATATGAATAATTTGTTGTGGCATTTCCTTTTGGAATATAAGATTTGAAATGGGATGACTATATAGGAAAGACATCAGTTGCAGTAGCAAGAGTGGGAGGAAGACAACATTTGAACTTGAGTCACTTGAGTTCAAGTCCTGATTCTGCCCCTCATTTGTAGTATGTGTGATCTTGGACATTTTTTGGGTAATACTTTATTATAGAGGATTTCAAATATACACAAAATATGAGGGATGGTATAATGAACCCATCATTTATTAACGAATGCCCAATTTGTTTCAACAGTAGCACCCTCTGTTACTCTTCCCCAATACCATTTTAAATAAAATCCAAGACGTCATATTGTTTTCATTCATAGATATTTCAACATGAATCTGTAAAAGATAGGAAGTTTTTAAAAACAACCAAGATATCACTATCACATCTGAGTAAATTAATATTTTTTTAATATCAGATTTCTGGGTACATTCCCAATAGAATAAAAATGTTATACATTTTCTTTTTGTTTTTACAGTTTGAATCAGGGTCCAAATAAGGGCCACATCTTGCGATTTATAAAAATGTCTTAAGTTTCTTTTGATCGATCGGTGCTTTATCTCTATTTTTTTCACATAAAAGTGCAAAGAAAAGGAAACTAGGTGGTTTGTCTTACAGGATTTCTCAGCTTGGATTTTGCTGATAGTGTCTTTGTGTTGTATTTTCTGTAAATTAGAGGTATGGTCAGATTTAGGTTAGGTTTTTGGATTTGGTTTTGGTTTCTGATCTTGGGCATGTGATTTGTTGTGTCTGACCTCTGTGAAATGGGGTACATGTTGCCCATCTCATAGCTGTTACAGAATTTAGAAAGAAAAGGTCCAGGGAAGGACCACATACACAGCATAGAAAAAGTGGTTGTCGTTATGATAGGATTATACATTTTTATTAGTGTTTGGGGAGTTGGATCGAAGAGAAGCTGTTTCCTCTCACACTGATCAGACTTAATATTGCAGGTTGGTATTGTGTCAGAAGGCTGAGCCTCAGATGGCCTTGAGTGTGAATTTCTGCTCTCCCACTTACTCATTTTCAGATCTGGGTAAAGTACTTAAACTCTCTGAGCTTTCCTCATTCTCTCAAAAGCGGCTAATAACACCTATCTTCCAAGTAGTGGGAAATAGAGATGATGGTTGTAAAGAGCCTTGAATATGAGCTCATCATGGGCAGAAATTTTGATACCCGAGTTCTGATTCGGGGTTTGGGGGCCCTTAGGGAGTGAAGAGATGCTGGATGTGACTGTGAATG